AAAAAAAAAAAAAAAAAAAGGATAAACCATGGGCGACAGAAAGAAGGCCCAGCAAAATACACGAATGAAAAATCATACGCAACGAAAAAAGATCGTCATGCGAAAAGTATAAAGGGAGCCCTTAACAAATGAAAAGTGCGCCACGTGGGGTAGGAAACACGGCGACAGCAACGCCAATGTCACACTCCTCTAGCGCGAGGACACCTTCGCCACGTGCACTGACTTCCTGTAAAAGTAATATGATTGTATGTCCAGCAGGAGCAGTAGTAATAGGATGACCAGGAACACGTAGAAGCGGGATGAGACGGACTCACATTTCTTCGTTTCCTCGTTTAAAGTGTAAAAGTACCACACAGAACAATCGGGGTCCACACAAATATTCAAAGCTGGCTCATAAAATTGATCTCCTACACACTCGGCCCTCTGTGTGCATCTGGCATTTGTAAAGTGATAATCCTTCTTGTTAGCGAACCCAATTCTGTAATTCTCCTGGTCCACCACTACATAAAAATTATTAATGACGTACGTGCCAAACTTAATTAATGGCTTCGTCGTCCTTCCACTGTTTTCACTAGACACTCCTTCGTGTACATCAGGCAATATGCAGAGGTAGCCATCGTTCGGGCCCTCCTCATTAATAATAAGATTGTCCAGCGGGATATGAACTTCCTGAATGCTCTTCCCTTGTGGGGATCCTCCAAGTGGGACTTCACTCGAACCATTCACGCCACCAATGTTATTATCACTCACGGTGTCGTTATCGGCAAGGTAAAACTTCAACACAGGTAGCGGTCTCATGGTGGCATCCACAGAGCACATCCTGGGTATGGTACCCTCATCAAACGTAACCTCCTTACTCTTAGGAATACACCTCTCGTCATTTTTGTTCACGGGTAGGTACTCCATTAGACTCAGCCAAAACATCTTGGGGAGGACCAAGCACTTGCTGCTCAAGTCTATTACTCCCTGCCAGTTACTACTGTACTTACCAAATATATTTTTTTCACACACTTCTAAATTGTACAGGGTAAACTGCATAAAGGAATCAGAGAATATTCCTCCCCTTTCTCTTGGCTCCGACCATACGATGGGTCCAAAGTTTTTTTTATAATCTCCTATATGTATTTCAGATATGCTTCCGTTCGGTTCCGCTGCCATTGCCGCACCCTTTTTGCTTGCCGTCTGCGCAACAAACTTAGCGTAGGATGAACCGCTGTCTTTTTTGAAGTCCTTTTGGCTAGGTGACCCCACAAGCGGCTTCACAGATCCCTCAGGCAAATTTATATCTAGGGCATACAAAGACTTGTTCTTCTCCACTATACTGTTCCACGCACTAACATTCCTGCAGCTCAGTTCCTTTCCGGCCAACCCCATAATCCCGTCGGTGTCTTTGAACAGGCTCCACCCTTTATACAGGCTCAGGTCCGTGACCAGCTTAAGATCATTATTGTGAAAAATGTTGTCCTTCGCGTTAACCCCTTTTCGTTGTCCGTCCTGTGCTGCTTCCTTTCCTGCATCGCTAGCGGCCCCTCCCGCCACTACCAAATCAACGACCTCTACGTCGTCTGATCCCTCCACGTGGCTCTCTGTGAACTTCAACGAATCATAATACATGCTGGGGTACTCCCCTTTATTTTCTAGAAGTAAATTTTTTTCACTGTAGCATTCGTATGGCTTGGACAGGATGGCCGGCAGGCACAACAGGTCATTGTTGCACCACGTGCATTTCTTACACGCCTTGGGGTCGTAGCAAACCCGAGTATTCTCCTCCACCTCACCTACGTGGCATGCTTGCGAGTCCTTCATAAATACATATATGCCCTCCACTCTACTATTCAATGCAAGCTTCAATGGTTGTCCTCCCACATTTACATTTGTATACAAATTTTTGTTCTCGGTAAAATGTACATTTAACACGCTTCCCTGAAACGTATCACCTCCTTTATTTACACCCATGCCGGATGCTTCTGCACCGTCCTCCTTGGTAGAAGCAAGAATTCGCCTCGCCGTGTTATACTTATTGGGGGGCATATTAAAGCGGTTGTTAGAGGGACCAAATGGTAATGAAGCTGATGCTCCCCTTTCCATTTCCCACTTCCACTTAATGGACTGCTCTTCGCACATCGTTGATGAATGTGTTGTCCCTTGGGGGATCCCTCCAAGGTGGGAGTCTTCACCGAGGGGTAACAAGAACCCCCCTGCACGTGCATCCTCTTGCAAATGCTCATTTGGTACCTGTACACAGTTTTGCATAGTCTGCCTAACCTCACCAGAGGGATCATCCCCGGTGTACATTGTCTCGTGAACAATATGGAATTCGTCACATCCGTGTGTGTTTCCACAGGAAAAATACAGCCTCCTAGGGTATCCTTCTCCAATGGTACTTCTAACCCTGTGACTAATGCTATTACTTATTTCATCATCGTCCTTGCCAGAGGTGTCATTTGTTGTCCTAACATCGCCTTCCCCAGTTATAACAAAATTCATTCCACCTGATATAAAACCTGCGAGCGTGATGACTCTTCCATCCCAGATGGTTACTCCGTGCTCGCTTCCCCCCTGCTGCCCCTTCTTCCCTCCCACCACTGCGTCACTGCGCTCCGGCACCCCATACAGAAGGAACAACCCACAGAGAAGCAGCAACCCACGCAGAAGGAATGGCAGAACTAACCAACCTTTCCATTTTACATAATTCAAATCCATTAATACGTCTTACACGTACAGGCATTACATACGGACCGACGTTACACACATGTATATGTTCATCCACAGGACAGCAGGGGGGGGGAAGCAAAACATCGCCCACTTGCCTCTTCCTGTCCTGCGTCCCTACCTGCTGGTGGTGTTGTCCTTCCCACTCGTTCGCACTGCCGTGGTGGGTCTCTCAGGCAGGCCACAAGCAGCCCGTAAGGTGCCACTCCACAGTGAGTAGCTTGGTGTGCCCAGCCTTTCTCTTCGCCTTCAAATGCCCCGCCGCGATACTAACGCAACGCTTATGCAGCCCTATGGCGCTGCTTCTCCGCTTTTACCTTCCTGCGTCAGCTGGTCAAGCAAGGCCAAATAAAAAACAACCAAGCTGAACCAGGAAAAACAGATTAAGCAAAGCCAAAGTGGAGAAGCACAAGTTGAACGGGAGAGGAGGAAAATCTGATGATGCGTAAATCAGACCCACACCAAAACGGAAAAGTAAACCCCACTCGAAAAGCAGTTTGCTCATCCCCGTTTCGTCAGGGAAAACTTAAACAAAATATGTTTCGCCGTAATCCCTTTTCTCAATCCTGTTTCTTTTTTTTTTTTTTTTTTTTTTTTTTTTTTTTGTTTTCCGCCCCATATGCTGCATTAAACAATGCATGTAAATTTTGCATATACATACGTATATTTTTTTTTTTTTTTTTTTTTGTAAAATGCATCTCCCTGTGGAACAATTTCAAACAAGTTAGAAAATATCACAGGGCGTACAAGAAAAAAAAAAAAAAGTGGAGTACGAAGTTGGGAATAAGGGCCCCCCTTTTTTTGTCAGGGCGATTAGAGAGTGCTCATGAGGTATACGAGGTTGGCAACTCGTTTGAATAGCGACTCTTTTTTTTGGGTTTTTTTTTTTTGACCAACGTGACCGATTTCGTGTTACTTCGTTCCCCCACAATGACAGATGCGGGACCGACGTGCGAAGGCGTATCCAAAAAAGGAACATTACCGTATAAGTGTGCACAAATGGAATGGAACACGGGGCGGGGGAAGTGTTGGTGATGCGGTGAAAGGTTGCCATGTGTTATACACCCCTAAGGGAACACACCCTTGCAGTGCCATATGCCAGATCAAAACCTCCAACGGGGAAAACTTACACATTTGAGAAAAGGGGCGACACGAGTCGCTTCCCCCTCCTCGGGTGGATCTTTGCAGATGTATATACTTGTGTTAATTTTATTTTTTCCACCCCTCGACTAAGCATTCTCAAAATGGTGTGTATGGACGAACTGCGTCTGATCAATGTTTAGAAAAAAAAAAAAAAAAAAAACAAGATGATCGCCTAGGAGAGCGCCTTTTCGCTGTTCCCTACTTAACGTGGATTTTATTGTTCCTACCACGTGGTTAATGTAAATTAGTTTCTACTTCCCAACCATTCAATCCCTGTTATTTTTACAAAGAAAAGGTTCCCATGTATGTTGCATAATCAGGTGAGTTCATCAACTCATTGATGAGAGTTGCATGTACATACACCCCTCACACATATCAACTCTGAGTATCGTTCTTCATCACCGCCCGCGGCATGCTCTGTCCCTTGGTCCTTTTCAACCGCACGCTGTTTGTCCGCGCCACAGGTTTTCCTTCCTTTCCCGTTGATCATAGTTCTAAAGCACTCAACGTCATCCCATATATTCGGCCCCTTTGCAATTCCGCCACAACGAAACCCGAAACACAACAATGTGTATATAAGCCCTGCACAAATATGTATGTAACGAAAACAAGCTGTAATTGCCCCTACTCCCTTTTGTGCGCCATTTTTTGTGTTGTTTTATCTCTCCTTTTGTCTTAACGTGGAAAATAGTTAAGCCCTATTTGTCCCATAATTACGAGTGCACACGCATGTACGTTGTTTTTATATGTTGAGGATCTCCATATTTGTTCTGTCTCCTCCAATTTCCTTTTTTTTTTTTTTTTTTTTTTTTTTTTTTTTTTTTTTTTTTTTTTTTTTTTTTTTTTTTTTTTTTTTTTGCCTGAACAGCAATGGCTTGTTCACCCGTAGATAGCCTCTCCACAATGAAGAGAAAATTGAAAATAAAATTTTTAAAACAAAAAAAAAAATTTTTCTCATTATGTAAGTATCCATAAATCGATACAATTATATTCTGCACATATGTGAGCACTTTGGACATGTGCTCAAAACTATGGATCGTTTCTTTTTTTTGTCTTTTTATTCACTCCCACCAGACGTAAATAACAATTATCTAGTGATGGATGTCCGTTCCCTTGTGAAGAGGTAACAACGAATGTTCATGTTCCCTTCCCCATTGTGTGTGTGTGTGTGTATAACTCCTCCGAAATGGAGTTCAAATCTTTTTCTAGCCCCCCAGAGCGACCGTTGCATAGCTATTTTGGCATGTGCGCTTGTTATCAAAATCGCCTGACCCGTTCATACAATTTCGCACAGCTGCAAAGACGACATCGAAGAGTTGGATACTAAGAAGAGGATAATGGTTAATCGATGGACGCATTCAGAGTTGTCTGACATGGACAAAAGAAAGAGAGGGAGAGAGAGAGAGAGAGAGAGAGAGAGAAAAAAAAAAAATACCATTTTCTTCACTGCAATCTGAGCATAATTAACAAGCGTCATGCATTGCACACTTCATCCTACCCCCCACCATATCCTTTCTTTCAATTGTACACATGTAGAGCATGCTCATTATGAGTAATTATTATTACATCCTGAGCAGTGCCAAGATATATGTGAAGCATTATAAACGATTTAAATATTACAAAATAATAAAAAATACTAGGTTCACGTACACAAACGTTACCAGTACAGAAACAATCTTTCGCATCTTGTGCCGAATTGCTAATCGTGTGTCATATACCGACCTTTTGCAAGAAACAAAAACGAAAAAAAAACATATCGTTCATTTCAAGGACACAGCCAAGCAAAAGGAAACATATATCGATCGAACAAGTGAGGCTGATCCTATTCAGCATTACCTACTCGATGCATTTGAAGCAAATTATAAGGCCATCTTGGCTACACTGTCCAGAGCCACTCTATGGTCCTTATCAAATGAATTGCAGGACTATTATTTGAAACATAATGAAGACTTTTTTCATACATACCACAGAATAGTTAGTAGAAAATTTAACAACGATTTCGATCTGTTCTTCAAATAACTGCGCAACCAGCGCTTCTGAACGTAATGGACGCATAGGAGGTGCCATCGAGTCATCAACTCATAATGAGACACACACGCACACACGCGCACGCTGCTAGAGCGTGAGTTCACATATGCGGTGCTGCGTTCCTTCAGCCCAGAGCCCACACACATGCAAGCGCATATGTAGGGCACTATCCCCTATATGTGTGCCGGTATATATATCCGCACGGGCCATATTTTCAAAGCGCACAAATGAGGCCCTTTTTGTGTTACTGCCTCTTGAACTCGTACTTCTTGTTCTCGTAAAACAGGTCCGTCTTTGCACTTCCCAGGTTTACAATTTTCGGGCAGCCGTCTCGCTACGGGAAAAAAAAAAAAAAAAAAAAAAAAGGATCAAATTAAGCCCAGCAATGTAAAAGGGAGATCCATGCCCATCCCATGGTAATCACAGCCACGTGACGACATATATACACGCGCAAGCCCTTCCATATGTGCACTCCTTACATCCTTCTCGCAAAGGCAGCACTCTTTACAGTAGTACGCATCCGATATTCCCGTGCCTCCGCAAATGATACATCTGCCCTGTGAAAGGGGAATGGGTAAGGAAAATTTTTAAAAAGGGACAGTCATCATCTTATTGTTTATGTGACCAATGAGAGCGCACGCCGGGGTGGCGACAGGGAGGGGTACCATGCCCACGAATGTATAATGTGTAACTTTGAGAATGTCCTGCCAAATGGAAATGTTCAAATGCTGCATTCCTCTGGAGGAACCTGTGCCCGCCCCCTACCTGGTAACTCCCATAGTTGCACTCGTCACATATCCGCACGAGGGTGTAGGGTCTGACATACGAATCACAGATGGGACATTTCCCGTCGCACTTTTCACATAGCCTGCCAATGGCTGCAAGGGGGGAAGATTAAAAGGAGGGGAGGATGGGGGGGGAAATGCGCGTAGGAAAAATTTACATCCACACGTGGGTGCACATGTACGGAGGACGCACATATATGGTAGTAATAGCGTGGTGGGGCGCGATCAACTGCATATGTTAAGTGGTCTAGGTTATGTGAATTGGGGAGGACATCGCGCAGACCTGCGTTCAGCCATGTGCCTCCCCGATCCGTCTTGTAATTGGGAAGCCACGTTCGTGTTGGTTGTGTCCTTGTCGCTGCGATTTTTTTTTTGTTTTTTCCCGCCGCGACTATGCACTCCGTGTATTACCTATCCCGGGCTGCTTGCGGCACATGATCAGGTCAGGGTCTGCACGGGTGGTGGGAGGAGCAAAGGAAGGTGAAGAGTTTATGAGCCCAATGAGCGACGCAAAATGTAAAGCGACTTGTCCGCTACCAAATGGCACAACTGTTTGTATATAATTGCGCAGGAGCTGCTAATCAGTAGGGAATTCCCCCATTTTATTATTTTATTGCATTATATTATATTTATTTTTTTTGTTCTTACGATGCTTGGCTGCCATTGTTGCTACCAGGTTGTGGGTGAACAAAAACGTTGCCACGGGAAATGGGATGGGATCAGGTCATATTCTCCTTCCGCGTGATTACATGTGATGGGATTCAAAGCAAGCGGAATGTTGAAGCAAGCGAAAAGTCGCAACAAAGGAGCACTTCTCACGCGGCATACATGTTAATACGTTTTGTGGCCTACCATCGTCGCAAAAAAAAAAAAAAAAAAAAAAAAAAAAAAAAAAACAAAAAACAGCAAGCATTTTGTATTTCCGCCTTGACACCCCGCCAGCGTGCTGCTACGCAGGACGACACCGACCTCCGCAAAAATTGCCGCTGCGTGGAAGGGGCTAGGACAAATCGTCCGAGGTTTCACCAACCAGTTCAGATTCACTTCGCCTCGACATGATGGGAACTGAATTTTTATATTGCTTCCCACCAGAGAGAGGGTACTGCCCCCAAAGTGGGCCCATTTTTCGTATCAAGTTTGTCGCAAGTGTTTCCACTGGATGCGTAAGTTCAACGCTCATGCAGAGGCACAGCGCCTAGTTTGGTAAAAAAAAAAAAAAAAAAGGACATAGAAAAAAGGGTGCCGCGGTCAGCGGAACTGAAAAATACAAGCAGTGGGAAAAGCATCCAATGGGAGGAGAAGCGCTTCTTTTCACTGCTACACTTCTTCCCCCACGCGCTCCTCCGGAACGCAGCGCACGTCCACGACATAATGAAAAAGACGCGGCGCGTAGGACTTAACGCGCTCCACATGTAGTATTGACACAACCCAGTGCTTCTTATGCGCTAGGTAGTCCATCAGGGCCAGCTTAAAAAATTCCAGCAGCACGAACTGGGCAAAGTGGAGACTCGCAGGGACGTTGTTCCCTCTGTAGGGGTCCTTCGCCTTCTTCCCCAATTTGGCCCCACCACGGGGACACGACTGCTCAATGGAGGTTGTTGCACTCTGCGGTCCGTCCGTCACATGGAGCCCGTGTTGAACCAACTCAGTCAAGGACATATTCCTGACATCAGTCTCGCTAACCCGTTTCACACTCTGCACATAATCATATGTATAGACTCGCGAGACGAACACTTCTTCAAAGACGTTCTCCCCAACTCCATGTATATGAAGTGTACCCCCCACTGTACCGTCCAACAGATGAAATGCATTGCACCAGGCCTCTACGCTATGCGGCAACAAACCGAGGAGAACACGATGGCACCTTCGAACAAGCTGCGCATTCTTCGTGACTACAAACGAGTTCTGTCTTAATATATGCAAATGAGTTTTCTTAATTTTATTCAACCCTACTGCACTCTTCAACAATCTCAAAGAATCTCCATTAATATCACAGGCGAAATATTCTTTTATTTTTCCCTCGCCAACAAACTTTAGCAGAGGTAGAGTGAAGTACCCAACACCACAAAATAAATCAGCGACGTTTTCCTGGCTCACCACCATGTTAGCTCGATGCAAGTAGAGATTCTGCATCCGCTCCTTTTCCGTTCCATTGCCTGAACAGAACATACACTTCTGCAAGTCCAGCTTGTACACAACATTATTTTCTACGTGTATTGTTTTTGCGTTCCTTCCGAGCACTAAGTGGATTCTATTTTTTCTCTTCTCTCCTTCTATGCGTTCGTATATGGTTATTGCTTTGATCCTGTTCCCTGCAGGGTTGTTCTTTCCTCCTACTTTACTCTCACGTACGTCTTTCAATTGCTTCTTTATTTGGGCTACCAGCTCCACCTTTACTGCGCGCCGTCCCACGTACGTAAGGGAGCACCAGGGGTGGTTAAGAAGACACACTTTTTCTCTCCCCCAAGAATGACATTTTTCCCTGCCCCCACAAGAGCACTGTTCTGTGCCGCGACAGGGGGATGCGCTACTCCACAGGGATGAAGCCGCCACACTGCGCAGCACGGTGCGCCTCCTGGCCAGGCTCGAAAATTTAAGAAACGTTCCATTACACCTCATGCGCAGCCTTTCCTTCCTCCTGGCCGCCCCCGTTGTGTGACCACCTCGGAAACGAAATCGGTTGAACGCGTCCCTCACGTCCAGCCAAAGCGCGTCCACATATGAGATGACCTTCATACGTCTGCACTTCTTCAGAAGAGTCCTAAGGCGGGAATACTTCCCCGTGCCCCTGTCCGTATACTTCAACGCGATGCCCTCCACACACGTGCGGTAGAGATGGAGAATCGGGCCCACATGCTTGTAGTGGAAAATCACAATGCCTCCAACAACTTCGTACTTGGCACTAGCCCTGACGATGAGCTTCCTCTCGGACTCGCTCAAGTATTTCTTCACCATCCCATTAGCAAAATTGTAAAACAGATTCGTCAGACATTGCTTCAAACTCGTTTTTTCCTCCACCCCTTTCGAACTTCTATGTATGTAGAAAATATGCCCCTCTTTTGTAAGCTGTACCTTCTCAAATGGAAAAACTCGCCTGACCTGTTCATAATTTTTTCTTGTTTCTATTTTTTCCAAAACTGGGACCAAAAAGGAGTCCTCATCTTTTTCACCACTTGTACGTCCCTTGAGGACCTCAATTTTGCGACGCTTATCGAATACCCCTATCCTCTCCAGAGCGGTCTTCACCTCCTTCACGTAGATTCTGTCCTTTGCAATGAGGTACAATACATCCTGCTGTGTCTTCTTCCCTGCGTGGGTGTCCATTCGTATCTGACTAGCACTCCGCGGGGACGTTCTTCGTGGCCTCTGTCTCCTCTGCTGGAGGGAAAAATATGATGTGGCCAAATCGGGCGCCTCTCCCGCTTCTTGATCCGCGCTGTTGTCTGCCGGGTTGTCCACTTCTTTATGTTTCCATTCGCTTACCCCCTGGTCGACACCCATGCCGACCCCCTGTTCGAGCAGAGCGCGCCTGCAGTTAGCTACAACGGGCAAGTCAAAAAAGCTCCCGAAGGTAAAGACGGTGCACCCGCCTCCGACCACGTACAGGTAGTCCCCCTCACTGGCAACCTTCGCCCTCACGTACATACTATGGAAGGGGAACACACCCAGCCGGTACCACTTGTTCTGCTTCATGCGAAAGAGCCATACGTCGTTCAGCGTGCGATGCATGTTGAGGCCTCCCATAAGGACAAAGTCGTTGTGCCCCCAAGCACATGTCGCATGCGAGAATCGATTCAATGGTAAGGCCGCTGGGCCATCCTCCCCGCTGCCTCCACAGGGAACGTAAAAAAAACAGTCCCTCTTCACATCGTAGGTATACAAATATTCCATACGATCTTCGTTACAAGCCTGACTCGAGTGCGCACCTGCAGCTCTGGAAGAAGAACACCCCCCGACGATGTAAATCAAGTTTCTCCTTTTATTATACACCATGGTGTGGTTCTTTAGACATGGGGAAGGGGCCTCCGTGCTCCCCTCTGTGGCCTTCTCTGAGGAGTGCTTCCTCTCCCATTCGATAAAAGCAGTTGTCCCCATGGACGTGTCCACCTGAACGGTGAGCTTCCCCTCCCATAGGTCATTCAACACTTCATTCTTCTCCGTAACGCCTCCATGCACATAGAATACGTAAACCTCCTTCTGCTTCTTGCGGTACCTGCGCACCAATGCACACGCGTGTCGGTAGCGACCGCAGGGCTGGGAGGAGTCCTCGCTATTTCCGCACCCATCCCCATGACGTTTCTCACCACTACTTCTCCACTTCACATCACACCATGCATTCCTTCGCATGTCATACAACCACACATCACTCGTGCAACTTTCCGGGCTCCTCCTACCACCGAACACACACGCATAGTTACTGTCTAGGCGGAAGAAGGAATGGTAAGACAGAGCGGGCAACGGCGTCTCGTAGGTCCTAAGGTGCTTCCTCCCAACGTCGAATACTTTCAACTGCCTACTCCTGACTCCCTTAGCAAACCCACCAAACAGGTAAATCTTTCCCTCTTCTATAAACATATCATGGCCCCAAACGAAGAGCTTGTCCAGGTCCCCTTCACTCGAAAGGAGCTTCCATTCCAGTGAGGAGTCTGCTCCCATTGGACAGGTCCCAGTCCGTATGTGTCCCTCGTCCGACAGTTCTATGTCGTACTTGTTCAAATATATTTCTCCTTTTTCTTTTTCTTTCTTTTTTTTTTTTTTTTCCTTCGTCGATCTGTTTTTCTCCCATTGCGTGTCTGGCAGGGTGATGGGGCTCCCATTTTTTTCTTCACTTTCGCCTGACCCGGCAAGGTCATTTTTGATGCTTTGCTGAGGAGGATGTTCTTCCCGTTGGCTGCAACCGCACATCTGCGCACATTTCTCACACTGCAATTGGGACAAGTGGAGGGGCTGCCACTTGGAACCACCCCCGACCATACTCTCCCTATAGCAGTGGTAAAACCCCACAAGCTGCCTCAAATTGTGATTCATCTTCCCATTGCACACATCAAGCAGCTTGGCGATGGAGTTCTCCTCCAATGAAAGCGCATCGTCCACATAATGCTCCAGGCGCATGGACCCCCTAATTGCCACAGTAACATCACGGTTAAAATTCAACAGGCCGCTCTGCTTCAGACCAGCCATCTGTGCCACCTTCAGCAACCTCAGTGCACTCACCAAGTTTACACACTTCACGTGAATAATAAAAGGTTCAAATTTAAAAAAAATTCTTGTCTTCTTTTTTTTTCTACTCATTTTGGTGACGTCTTCATCATTCGTGTAGATTAATTCTTCCCTGGAATGATGCCCTCGAGGTAGTTCTTTCCTTGCTTCACTTGGTGACCCCCACTTGGTATTCACCACCACGGAGTCCTCCTCTTTTTCATAACTGACAAGGGGGGATGTTGTCACACCATTTAGGCACTGCGTTAAAATACGCTTCACCACCTTGGGGTCTTCTCTTAAATTCTGATGCATGTGGCTGGAGTAATACATGTGCACATTTTTTCTGTGTTTTTTTTTCGTCCTCTCGGGGGATATGTTTCTTCCCTGCACAGGAGGGTCGCACTCATCATACGAGTGGCACCCCTCCTCGTGGTAACTCCTTTTCAAGTACGAAATGAAAGCGTCTTGTTCGATGGTCCGTTTTGTCTTACCATTGGCATTGTCTCCCAGGTCGGCTCCCCCCACCACAGAACCGCTCCTATTACACATCGCACCACTGCAGGAATTCCTGTTCTCTCTCACGCCTCCTACTTCGCCAAAAATTACTACCCTCCCCGAGCAGCAGGAGCTGGTGAAATAATCGGGGCTCCTATTTATTTCGTAAATGCATGGAGTAATCAACAAGTCAATGCTTTTCTTAATGGACTTGTCCTCTCCATCATCATTAATGTTTTTCTGCTCCACCACACGTTTAACCATTTCTTCCATCCCCCTGGGATTCTCTTCCAACACCTCCTCCGCCTTCTCCTCCACTCCCTCTTTGCACTTCCGATATATATTCAAATAAATGTTGCAGACGTCCTCTTTGCAGTTCTCGTAAATGCAGGTGTACCTGTGGAGCTCCCTCTCCATGTCCACTACCTTTTCTGCTTTTTTTTTCTTCCTCAAAAAGGCCTCCATCGTCGTGCGCGCACTGGGGTATGCCGGTGCTCCTTGTTGAAGACACATTACAGCACAGAGAGGGAACCACTACGTTGATGAGTGTTCCCTCATCGGTGCATATACAATCCGGGGAGCACGATCAAGCAAACCCCTTTGTGTTCTCTCCCTTAGGCTGCAAGGAACTGTTGCAGGGGGTTCCCCTATACATGAATATACTCCCAGCTGTTTGCTGATTAATGCATAAGTGTACATATACAAACATACGCTCAAGGGAGCTTAAAATTACGACTGTTTTTTTTTTTTTTTCAAACTGAGTAATGCACCACCCTCCGTGGTGGACACCCGTGCGGGAATGGACAGTCACCCCGGTTAAGGAGCAAAGTGACAACACCACAAACTAATAAAGGTAACAAACTTGAAGGTAACAAAGTGATGTGCCAAATGGACCTCCTTAAGACGGTAGACCCTACAATGTTTGCCCCTTTACAATCAGAAAAAAAAAAGCGGAAGAATCATTCTGGTTGGTTACATCCAAAATGAAGTCTAGAAAAAACAAAAAAAAAAAGAAAAAGAAAAAAAGCACACCTCAAATGCAGATATGCAGCGCAATCGCCGGGACACAGACCCAGGTCACTTGCCTTAACGTTCTAAACCCACTTGGGGTGGACGTTATTTTGTACAGTAGTTTCCGTTCCCCCTGAACACGCCGTGAACGAATTGTTCTGTCGCAAATGCTGGCCTGTGCGGTTTGTTTTTTTTTTTTTTTTTTTTTTTTTTTTTTTCTGTTTCTAATATTCACTTAAACGATAGAAGGCCGCTCTGCCCCCACATAGTGAAAAAAAACGCATGCGATTAAATTTGTACCGCTTTGCAGCGATGTTGCTACGACGTTGAAGCCAATCTGTTTTTTTGCGCTTGCCCTATGCGACAATGAAAGCAAAGAAGCGGCAGGGCAACAGGGGCGACATGGGACAAATAACACCGCATACATACGGGTAGAGCACGCTTGCGCTTTTTCCCTTCGCATCTAAGTAGTGCCAATTTTGTTGTTCATTTTAGGTAACCCCGAAAGGCAGCTACAAAGGGTACCGCTTTTGGTTTGTCAAATTGGATGCGCACCCTCCATTATTATATATATATGCTGCCACATCAATTTGTTAAAGCATAAACAAGTATATAACCTTGCACTAGGATGGGTGCCCCCATGTTGAAGGTATATACCTTGCGCAGGCGCGACACCTGGCGCCCGTTGCAGCTGGCACAGAACCGCGTTGTGCACCCCCAACTGTGTTTGTAACGCGCATTTGTTAATATTGTTCAAAGCAACGATAATGGCGTATGCGGGTTATGCTCACCAGCTATCTGCCACCCATCACGTATCACCAATGGAGTAGTATTCCCCCACCCATGGCACCCACGCATATGCGCCACATGGTATATATATTATTATATACATATATGTATACATACATGCATACCGTTGCATCGTTCGTATAATACGTCCGAGCGCTGCATAATGGCCCTTAGTTGCGTTTATCAACAAAAAAAAGGCGAAAATTCTGGCATTTCGCCTAGGCCATAATAGGGTGATGTTCTCCACTGTACTTCGCTTTGCCTTATTACATCGTAAGGCTTTTTTTTTTTTTTTTTTTCTTTTTTTTTCTTTCTCTTCTGCCTTACTCTGCCACCAATTTGCCACATTTAAGTGACGCATGCATTCGCTGGAAAGGTTCACTGCGAAATTCCAATTTGGCGCTTTCGCTTTAATTAGGCATTTTTGGTGCTAGCCGCTGTTGCCGCCCCCTCGGCCATTTTCCAAAAGCATCGTTCTGCATGACCAAGTGGCCTTGGCCCATCTGCCCATGAGATGCATACCTGTGCCCCTGACGCATTCATGCTTACATGCCACATATAAAAGCATATGTGCCACTATGTACATACGTTATGCATGTGTATATGTATATATAATATATATATATATATATATATTTTTTTTTTTTGAACTCACCAAAATGGGCATTTTTCACCACTTGTGCAATTTTTGCCTGACCTGTTAATGCAAAATTTGCCATTCTGTCCATGTATTCCTGATTTAAAAAAAAAAAAAAAGAAAAAAAATCTCCTTTTTGACACTTTACTTTTTACGTTGTACGTTCATGCATATCGCTTACCTTTATGTGATCTCCCACGGACGTGTTTATATGCCCACGTAACAATCAGACGCACGGGGGCTCCCACTCGAACCAACTCGCAAACACCGCATACCCCTGTAGCCGGCAAAATGAAATTAGGCAAAGGGGACATTTGCGCAGCCAGCACAGCCAACAAAGACGCCTGCAAGTTTCTCATGAATTTTAAAATTAAATAACAGTGAGAACAGAAGACAAGCAAGAAGAGGCAACTTAAGGCCAAAAAAAAAAAAAACGTGCAGGCACCTGCGCAGCTGTGTGACCATATTTCCACGCGCCGCGTCTACCGTTTACAGGTGCCCTACACCGCTGCTTTACTAAGATTGATGAGCTTGAGACATCGCCCCTGTGCTTGTACATGTTTATTTAACTGTTACGACCCTCCGTGTACACACTCGGGAGGGTAGTTCTTCAACCAGTTAAAGGAAGTCCCCTTCCGACGTCTCCCCTTTTATAGACGCGCGTATATATTAAACGTGGTTTACCTTTTTTTCTTCTTTTTTGTTTTTTTTTTTTTTTTAAGTGAGACAAAGCGTTCTGAATAACGCTTCAAGTGAAAGGGTAGAGAGAAACAAATCATTTACACGAATTGCTTCTTCTCTCTTCATCCTGCACGAAAGTACATCCCCCGCGCTCTATACTTTTGTGGAAAACTGTTTTAAGTAACACACAAGAGGAATATTCACTCAAGTGCATGCTGTACGTAGTAACGAGTACCCCTGCGTTTACCCATTTTGAAGTACCCATAGTGCACGCGATCGTCTGTCCCCTTGCGCACGTGTCTTTGTGGTATCCGTTCATCTACTTATTTGCCCATTTGAAGTCACGCCCTTGGCACCGCAACAGTGCACTGTCAGTTGCCTATACAGGGGTAACCCTATCCAGCCCCCCTTTGCAAGCTGCCGACGGGGAGGGTGTAAAAGTGACCTCATTCTGGCTTCTTTTTACATAAATATATATTTTTTTTTTTTTTTTTGGTGTATATGCGTGCCGTTTTTAATCACCCAAGTCGGGGAGTTAACTCAGTGCGGATATTTTTGATTGTCCCTTTTGAAACATCTTGGTGAGAGGGCAGGTCACCAGGGGGGAAGAAGAAGAAGACTCGAAGTTGTATAAGCGGGTCCCCACACGACAGCCAGTGTCTACGCACATATATATACTTACGCAGCGCGTGTTCCTCTGTGTGTCTACACGCTCGAGCACACAGCACCAGGAAAATAGGACAGGCACATATTTTTTAAGTACCAATTTTTTACGTATGAATTTTTAATTCATTCACGCACCACCTCGGCAGCTGAATACCGAAAGGGCACTTTCCCAGGCGATCATCTTTTTATTTATTTATTTATTTTTTTTTTGCTTCCCCTTTTCAAATTGTGAGGAGACTTATCAACTCAGACGTAGAGCAGCTTTCCAGGTTGGTGAATCATCGCGGAGTTCGCCTACCGACCGGGACAACAAACTTCCTGTTGCAGTCCCCGGTTACGTTACCCTCCGCCATACCACCCAAGGAGAGAGCAGATCGAATACCAAAGGAATCTGAATAACAAAATATGGAAGAAGAAAAACCGGACGAAGATGAGGAAGTTACAGTAGGAAAAAATATCATCCACAACAATTTCGCAAGCGCAGAATTTCTGAGCAATTTTCAATTTCTGCTTGATCATAGCAACCCCTTCTACCACCTCCATGATCGCCATTTTCCTTGTGGACTGAAAAGTGCATTGGGGGTAGGAAGAAATGCAGATGGAGGCAGCACAATTGGAAGGGGCCACGGGACGAAGAAGCTTCTTATCCATTTGGTGCCCTCCAACAAATCCGATCTCTACAAGTTCTTGAAGAAGAAAAAAGAGCAAGTACAGAACCTATATGGAAAGGACGAAACTTACAAGTATGAAAGTCACATAAGTTTGACTGGTTATTTCTCCTGTGACAACATCTTTATTTTCACGAAGAGCCTATACCTTTATTTGTTTTATTATGTGAAGCTTTACCACTTGTCCAGGAAGCTTTCCGTTCGGGATTTGTTCTTTTGCATTCCGTATCGGGTCGGACGGTCGGCATGCGATGGCCGCCGCGCCCTGTGGGGTGAAGAGAGGCCCTGTAGGAAGCAGTGGGCGAGGAGGGATGCGCAGGACAGGGCGCAATCGCAGTCGCATCACCCCCGCTCGCAACCTACGACACGCAACGTTGAGGAAAAACGTATCCTCACGAACAACGATGGGTACGTGATTATTCCCATTATGTGTGAATGGCTAAAAAGGATTTTTGAGAATTTCCATTTTTTAATTAAAAACGACAGCTTCGCATCGTGCAGGAAGCACACCCAGGGTGGTACGGACAAGTCCTCCAGAAGGCACTTGCGCAAGCGTGCGGCGGTTAAGGAGGAGGATGGCCACTTCGTTGGTGAAAAGGATAAGCGGTACCGGGTCGAACACGACCAGTCCGAGGACCTGCCAATGAAGATACATTGCCAGGGGAACAACGCTACAGGGGTGATAAGTCTTCCTGTGCCGGACGAATGTGTCACATCATTTCAAAATATCGACACCCCTCTAGCACATGATGACGGTGATGAGTCAGCTTCCCATTCATGTATAAAACGAAGCAAAGCACGGTGCAGTTTGAGCAGTGTTAGTACCTCCTCCAGCAGCGGGGACGTAGGACAGTGTGCCGCGGTCACGCAAGGGGCGAATAAGTCTCCCGCGTTGAACCCCTCTGTTTGTGAACAGGGGGATCGAACACGTAGCAGTGGGATGAGCAGAAGTAATATAGGTGTGCGAAGCAATCGGAGCAGATGGGGAAATAGGATAAAGTACCGCTACAACAACGACAAGGTGCGCTTGCTCGACTGCCGCATAAAGAACTGCAACCATATTTCCCTAGCCTCCAACCGCAAGGATCAGGGCGTACAAAACCAGATTGCCCACATGTACAAAGACATGAAGTATCACTTCTCAAACTGCACGTGGGACATGGTCATGTACGAGTGCGTGGAGGGGGGACGCAACACGCACATACGAGGGGACGTCACGGAGATCGAAATTGGGAACGCAAGTAAAAACTCCCCACGTGGTAACAACCTCCACTTGAATGAAATTTTCCGATTGAGAAATTTCGCCATCTCGTGACTGTCACACGCAGGAACCTACCAACTGAGCAAAGGGGTACACCTCCTGTTTTCTTTTCTTTTATTTTATTTATTTTTTTTTTTGTTCGTATTTTCGCGTCCCAAAATTTAAGTCCTACCACGTGTATTTCTTGTTAATTTTGTGAAAGCGAACGCAAGTTTTTAATCCGGAATTGGGCAGGAGTATACATGCGTGTTTTTTTTTTCTTTTTTTTTTTTTTTTTCCCCGTGTACATTTATTATTGCAACACTCGTTGCATATTCACCTGGCGTGTGTGATCATTTAGCCCTTTTTGCGGCAGAGCAGAGGAAGAAGAAATTTCTTGCCTGCCGCAGACACATGTCGACAGTGACTTACCAAAAGAGGATAAACCGATACTTCCAATTTTTTAAGCCGTCTTTAAAAGTCCCCCACTTTTTTTTTTTTTGTTTTTTACACGAGTGGGTGGAGTTCCCGTGTTGTAATAACACAAAGCGAGGAATTCCCATGTGTAGTGCGCAACTGGGTTGGAAATTGTTAAATCGGTGAAAGTGATTTATTCCCTTTAAGGCTGTTGCTTTCTTGTTGCTGCTTCCTTGTGAGCGCTTCCCCACAGTGTAGAGATACAGACCAATCACGCACAACCGCTGTGTACAGTAGTTAAAAAAAAAAATAATAATAAATGGGCATTGGAAATGACAACCCCAAAGGGCCCAAGTTAACCTTTCATAGTTTTGCAAATAGGCGGTTTGCGAAAGCTGTGCTCGTTTGACAAGTACCCATCAAAGGGGAACATTCTATGAGGTGACATTTGGGCACCACACCGGGTTCTACATTTTGCGGCCTCCCCGCTGACCGCCTTTTTGCACATAAGTTGGGATTATCTATTAGCTAGCCAAAATAGAAATCATTCTTTTTCGCCTGAACAAAAAAAAAAAAAAAAAAAAAAAAAAAAAACAACAGCAACAGCAACAGCAACAGCAACAGCAACAGCAACAGCAACAAAAATATGGAAAGGGTAAGCGAATGAAACACGAAATTAAAAGCGTTTACATGGATCTGTCATTCTGCTGCACTGTCGCAAAGATATAGAGCAGGCTAATATATGCAGCAGGATTTCTCCCTCTGGCGCTGTGTTCTTCTTCATCCAACGTGTGGGCACATGCCTTATTGTAGCTGACGCCTGGCTGCATCGGCCATGTTCACCTCTACACAGAAACATGCATGAACAAATGGAAGACGACACGCACAAGGAAGGTGCGAAGGAGGAACGACTCACCTACCACTATAACGGGCACCGCTCTAGGAAAAAGTGCCCCATCGGGGGAAACGATGAAGCGGACTGCAGCATGGCACGTTTTTGCGAGGGCTATTCCGCACTGCCAGACGACAGCGGAGGGAGCGCCAACTCGGAAACATCTACACACGGGAATAGCACAACGGGAAGAAGTTCAGGCACAGGACGGACCGCACATTCGATCCATGCCAATAAGCGCACCATGAGCAGTCGAGAAGATTCTCCAACCCAGCGCATATTTCTTGTGAAAGGATCAAACTCTTCCAACGCCCCAAGTGACATGCGCGTAGCTGCAAAGCGATGGCTCCTACGCGATTCCTGCAAACAAGCACACTCATCATACGAGGCGCAAATGCACAGCACACACGACAGGGCGCACCACCTCGAGCTGTCCATACCTCCAAGGAACCGAAATAAGGAGAGAAGAAAAATTCAAAGGAGGTATGCCTCCCACCCGAACGTAAGTGGAAGACCTCACGAAGTTACACCTGTTAGAAAGTTCCCACGCAGTCCATTTTTCCATAAAGACGAAGCGGTTAAAATGAAAAGGAGAGAAAAACCCAACGAGTGCGGCCAAACGCGTATAGGTGACAATGCAAAAGTAACATGTGGCACAATGCTTGGGCTAACCAAATTACGAAACGTGTACGAATGGAACAACAACTACCATGTACGCAGCAGTACGCTACATGCTACATTCCAGAGGAATGGCCACCCACCTAAGAAGAAAGTAAAGGACAACAAACAGAAGCATAAGTCAAATATGGCTGCTTCAACATATAGGTACAAGTTAGAACGGGAGGACAAAAACCCTCCCGACATGAATAACAACCCCTGTGGACATGAACTGTTCCAAGTTAAATTCCTGTGTCAAGCAAAGGGATACGATCTGCAAAAAATAAGTCTCGTGTTCAATGCAAAAAAGATAAAGTACGTCTTCCACGACAATAATAACATTTTGTGTGCATTTTTAACGCCAGAAAAACGTACAAAATATTTTTACAGCTTCGAAGATATAGGGAACATGGACTGCTTCAATTTTGTGAAAGACGTCACTGCTGCAGATGCTGAATATATTGTTTTTATTTTTATAAATGGATCTGTGGTCATATGGGACAATTTCCCTAAGTGTTACAGAAAGGACGTGTTCATTAATAAGGTTATTGTTTTTTTAAATTCTTACTCCGACGAGCTGCTACCTGTGCATGTGGTGCAAGAGGATACCATGTATTACCATGAGTGGGGGGGAGATGAAGAAATACTTAGCCCAACCACGCCTACATGTTCGGAAGAGCTCTTCCCCACATCGTGTATGGACACTCCACTGATCAGCGGGGGAGTCATCCATCTGCGAAGCGGTTCCCTGGAACAGAAACTAATCGTATCCTTCGCCCTCTCGCAGTCCATTCGCCTCGATGTGCACGAAATGCTCATGGACACCACCATCAACAAACTCTTCATCATTTCCAAGCAGATTGCCAGTAGCGGCACCTGCACCATTTCCAAGCAGGAAGGTTCAAGGATGCTTGATGTGTACTCTAGTATAATTAACGTTAATGCTGTGCAGGACTTCCTCGACGTCCCTGAATATTTCTGGAATAAGGTTCAGTACGAGAACGCATGGTTTGAGGTGAGTCATGAGGCACCACGTGGCTTCCTCTGCTAGAACATTCCCCCCCCCCGTTGTCAACACTTTCCCCGTTAACTTCGCTCAACCCATTCATTTCCCCTCCCCCTCCCCCCACACACACATGCAGATATACACATACCTGGAGATCCCGGAGCGGATCAACATCCTGAACAAGCGGTACAACTACTACAAGGACTTACTCAAGGTGATAAAGACGGAGGTTTACAACGACAAGACGTTCTACAGTTACCGGGTCATCGTCCTGCTGCTCTTCATACACGTATGCGCGCTGATTCTCAACGATCTCTTTTTCGCCCAATGAAGAGGAGGGGGGGGGGTGGAAGTGAAGTGGTCCTTTCCGTGGTGAGTCATTACCTGGGGAAGGACAACCCTTTGAGCAAACACATCTTCTTTTGTCGGTGTGTTATGTTCCCCTCCTCTCGTTTGCTATGTTCACATACAAGTAGTCACAAATACCCTTGCTGACCTGACTGGCGCTGCCAGGGGAGGGAGACAGAGACCTGACCATGCCCTCATCGCATTGGGATGTATGCAGAAGGGGGTCTTCTCCTTCCCCAGTGGAGGTTCCCTCCACAGAGACCTTTTTCCCGTACTCTTGAAAACACTTGTGCGCCTTGTTATACTTGTAAGTAATCACTACGTTGTGCGTCGGGTCACTTCTCTGGGGGGGTGCCCGATTCTCCATCTCGCTTCCGCTACTTAAACCGCCTTCACTCGCTACCTGTTCATTTTTAACGCTTTCCTGGGCATGTTCCCGCCCCTTCACCTCGATGAGTGCTCTTAAGAAGGATAGCATCTCATCCCATTCTCCCGACCCCTGGTTATACACATGAAGAAAAATATTCAACTGATCGACGGTGCTAACCCGTTCAAAGTGACGCTTATTCCTGAACACCAAAGAGTCTACTCTGGTGAGAATAGCATCATCACAAATGTTTAATTTCTTATAACAGTGAAGCAAACGACACAAGTGTTCATAATTGTATGTGAGCACCTTAGGTATATTCCCCGTGACGATAACCACAATGTCCTTCATGTTACTGTCCACATATGGGAGGAAGGTAAAGAACTCCAGGATCGATATGTACTCTCCTGGGAGGGCCTTATGCTGAGTCTTTAGCTTTGAAAAAAGGAACAGTAGCAATCGCTTGTACACAAAGGTGTAATTGAAATAATTGAGCTCTCTGTAGGCGCACAGCAGTTTTATGAGTTGCTTCAATGAGAGGAAGGCTATGCAGGTGTTCACCCTGGAGAAGAGCAACGGTATTACGCGCTCCACCACGTTCCCCTGGCTGCTATTATGCTCTCCCCGCCACTTGGCGTCTGCTTGGTGTTCCTCCCCATGGGCGTTTTTCATTAAATGGCAGTACTCCTTGTGTTCATCCTCGTTGTTGTGTTGGTTGTGCTCACCACTCAGAGGGGCTGCTTCGCGCAATCCATGCGGCCTCCCCGCTTCTTCACTCACTTCCTGCCTTCCTTGCACAACCCCACTGCGCGACAGCCTCTGCAAAATGGGCCCAATCTGCACCAGCGTGTTGTACACGGAAATGGAGTCCATCGACTTGACGTTTGCGCAAATGTACTGAACCAGCCTGAGAAGCAGCTCCTCGTGGTTCCCACCACTGGTCCTTGGTGAGTATGCCGAAATGAGGTGATTGATGTGGTTACACCTAACCATGCTGAAGTTACGCAAAATGTGCTCACATGCTCCATCAAGCAAATCCACGTCCTGTATCTTCAGCTTAGACAATGCATGTAGGATGTCGCAAATTCGCTTCATGTCATATTGGTGGAAGTGCCTTTTGATTTCCTCCACGAAGAGTTGCATCAGTTCGAAGTCTGTGTAATTCAGTTGGTTGCTCGCTAGGATATACTTGTAAATGTTCTTGTGCCTTTCTGGGTCATAGGACATGTCCCCTCCGCTTTTTGTATTATACATTTCACCGACGTCTTCCCTTTTTGCACTCGCCGCGTCTACGTCCCCCCTGAAGAGCCGCAACGCCCGGTGGGCCAACATGGAGTACACTTCAAAGTTCCTCTCCTTGCTCAGGGCATACGCCTGCAGAGTAAGCACCACATCTGGAAATGTGAACACCCTGCAGTGCTTCTTAACAAGATCGTTGTACACGTTAAACATGCGTTTGCTAATGAACCCATTCTTAACGCTTTTCTTAATTGCATGACTAACTCTTTCTCCCTGTACGCTTTTCAGTTTCTGTATAATTGCGCTCTCTGCATCGTCCTGCGTCTTTGCAGAGTGAATCCCTCTGCAGGTGAGGCGGTAGCAACGGTTGTCACGGTTGTGGCCATTGCGCACTGTGTCGTGGACTATGCTGCCTACTGCTCTGCTGACTGAGGCACTCATCGGGCCGCTGCCCCACAGGCATCTGATCAAACGCTGAGCGAGCCACATTTCGCCGATCGAGGAATGAGGGGCGGTTGCAAACGGAGGCGCAGGGATGTGCAGTGTACGCAAAAGTGTACCGATGCTTGTATGCAAGTACACATAAATAGATTATTTTATTTTTATTTATTGTATTTTTTTTTCTCTCCCGCAAGTCCGTCGTGCCGCCATAATTCGCACCACGCCGCTGCGCAGTTCGGGCACCCTAGGGCCCTTCGCAACGGAACCCATTAGCACGGTTCGCGTTGCACTGATAAGGTGGGTTCACACTTCTACCCCCGAGGCAACACAACCTATTAACCTCGCCCCTATGCAATTTAATTTATGATGTTTTTTTTTTTTTTTGTTAACAACACATGAGATCGGCGGAACCACTTCCTCGTGTAGGGCGGTGGTCAACACCCTCAGATGGTTTGCTTTCCCCACAGCAGGAAAGAAAACAAACATATGAAGCAACAGGGTGAAGCACTAACGCACAACTGATTCGCCCATTCAAGCGAACGGAGCACCTCCCTGCTGCCACTTTGTTTTTACAGGTTGGGGAAAACCCACTCTACGCTCTTTTCCCACGCACATATACATGACCGCCCATGCGTTCACAACATTGAGTGGACGAAACAACGGGGTCGAATCCCTCCCAGAAAAATAAGCTGCGTGGTGTGTGAAACCTCAAAGGGAAAGAAGTGAACCGACCTGATGGGCTCTAACCCCCCGCAATGCAGTACACGCGAACGAGTCTGTCGCTCTCCCATGGGGACGATTATGTGTTGACCCCAAAATGTTGTAATAAAATATGATGCACCACAGCGGGCTTGCGAACAAGCCAATGTGTTAACATAAAACCACATACCACTGCTTCCCCCCTTTTAAGAGACGCCCCGATTTTCATGCGCAAGGCTATGCATATGATGAGCGTGTGTAGAAAATTGTTCCCCCTTCAGGGATGGGGCTGATGTGGTGGCAGTAAGCCCATCCCCGCCACACTTCACTGCATTGTAAGATGTATACCGATCCCGAAGTGGAAGAAGAGAGTATGCGTAGTTACCTCTACACACAGCTGTTTAAACAACAAAGAAAAAAAAAAAAAAAAAAAAAACGGATAGCCCTCTTTTTCTGTAATGAATCATCCTCATTGCTGTCTGCTGAGAACGGTACGTTGTTGTGATGCCCTCTCTCCCCAAACATGTAAACCACACTACGCTGCTTTGTATGTTGCTATTTCGTATGGATACTACTCCGTGGTGAAAACGGATCCTCCATGATAGCACTCCTTAGGTCGTGTCACATACGTTCACGCGGGAATACGTACACATATTAGTGGTGCTTATATTGGTAATATCCCCCGTGTGACAGGAAAACAAGGGACCATGCCCCACCGCGGTCGCCTCACCACCAATAGTGTATAGAACACCGGTACCCTCCAAATGGTCAAACCGGAGTATTGCACATGCATGTTGTTTTGGGGGGGGGGGAGATATCCGAACAGTTTTGTTCGAGTCGCCGTGACCCTCCTTTGTTCCATCAGCTACCATCCATTAGGTAGCCCCCCGTGGGAACACCACAAAATTGTACACGCGTGCTCAAATATATGCATCGTATGTGAAGGAATACTTTTTCCATTACCCCCACGCGACCCCGTTGGATGGGGATTCTCCCTGGGCAGTTCTACAGGAGCGACGCAGGAGAAGTTGGTGGATCACATGGTTCGTGCAAGAAAGTATTATCCATGCAGAGCTGTTTGGGAAATAAAAAAAAAAAAAAATTTAAGTAACACCTGTGTTTGGGTGAAATACAATATAAACATATCTACGTCACATCGCGCAATGTAACATCATTTCCGTGTACCATATTTACCACCCTGTTTGTGCTGCGACAGAGCGATACTCTCTCACGAGGAGTCGTTTTTTTTTTTTTTTTTTTTTTTTTTT